TTTCTCTGTTGGAACCTTATCGAGAATCATCTTTTCCTGGAAGAGTGCAATGTCCGCCACCTAGTATTGAAATCGAGAACCACGAAGAATACGAGGTTGAAAAGGTATTGGATTTACGGCGAAGGTGGAAAAAGTTAGAATATCTTGTTCATTGGTGCGGCTATGATATTAATGAGCGAACGTGGGAGCCAGTTGAAAATCTTGCGAATGCGCTACAAAAGATACAGGAGTTTCATCAACGACATCCCGATAAACCTAAATCAATTCGATGATAGCTTCTTTCTGAAGCTTGTTCTCCCAACAATATAAGAAAAGGGGAGAGCACCAGCAAAATTCATAGTTGATGTAGTTATTTTCTCCAAGATAGATCGTAGTTTGGTCTTTTGATATGGATAGCCAAGAGATAGATACTATGCCAGTCAGAGTATCGCAACCAAGTAGCTCACGAAGGCGACCCCGAGATGAAGAACTACATGTACCACGACGACGACGGAGGATACCGAGTAACCGATCACTGGTGATCGTATTTGAGATCGAGCCTGCTTACGATGGTCAACCAGAAGGCATGTTTGCAAGACAATTTCACAATGAGGACACGGAAGTTCATGCTTGGTCAGAAGTCGAAGGCATGGGCCACTACCGTTGGCTTCAAGGGTCGATGAACCACTTGCCTCGTGAACAACAGTTGGAGTTCATAGCAGAAGTTATGCGACAGATCTTCATTTTCTTGCGTTGGTACTGATCAACAACATTGTTTCTCAGAGACCTCGAAGCTAAAGGAGGGGATGATGTTAGGGACATATTCCTTAGAACTTTCTAGAGAGAAGTTTCTAGAACCTTCTAGAAAACAAGCCTCTGGAACCTTCTAGAAGAGAAGCCTCTGGAACCTTTTAGAGAGAAGTTTCTAGAAGCTTCTAGAAAGGAAGTCTCTAGAACCTTCTAGAAGAGAAGTTTCTAGAAGCTTCTAGAAAGGAATCCCTTGGAACTTTCTAGAAGCTTCTTAATTAATAGAAGTAGCTCGAGAAGTTTCTAGAACCTTCTAGAAAGGAAGCCTCTGGAACCTTTTAGAAGCTTCTTAGTTAATAGAAGTAGCTCGAGAAGCTTCCTAAGTAGGAGTATATATAGGGATCGAGGCTGAAGAGTTCTTCAGTCTCGACAACACATCTCTTGGAGTTCTAGCTCACCTTTCTGGTATTGTTCTTGTACTCATCTGTTTAATCTAGTTCTGTCACTTCTTCTTGAACTTCTTGTTAGATTTCAAGTCTGTATTTTGTGTCCGTGACACAAATCCTAAATAAACCTTAGTCAAATTCTAAACAAATCCTAGTCAAATCTTAAACAAATCCTAGTCAAATCCTAAAAAAATTTAAACAAATCCTAACCAAATCTTAAATAAACCTTAATTGAAGTCTAAAAAAATCCTAACCAAATCTTGGTCAAATCCTAAAAAATACTAATCAAATCCTAAACAAACCATAACCAAACCCTAGCCAAATCCTAAACAAACCTTAACCAAATCTTAATCAAATCTTAAACAAATCCTAACCAAATACTAATCAAATCCTAAACAAAATCTAACCAAATTCTAATCAAATTCTAATCAAATCTTAATCAAATCCTAAACAAACCTAAACAAATCTTAACGAAATCCTAATCAAATCCTAAACATATCTTAACCAAATCCTAAATAATTTCAAGTAATTCCTATAGCAGATTTAAATTTCAATACCTAATGAATGAACCGTTGATTTTAACTCAAATTTTGCACACCTCTTTACAATTAAGTTGAAAACAAATAAAAAAATTTTGAAGAAGATCGAACTCACCAAAAAGAAGATCAATCCTACTATTTTCTTGGATGTTGGCTAGCCTCCTTCTTCAATCTGAATGTTAAATTTCTAGTGCCAATATCTCCTCATCAAACTTTTCAATTGATTTCAAATTTCTTATATATATAGGAAAATAAGTCTACTATGCATAAAAATAATTTTTACTACAATCCAATCAATAGATTGCAAGAAATCTTAGAAATCCTCACTAGACCTACATCTCTACTTTCCGAGATTTTCACCTACTTAAACCTCAATTGTCCTTGATCCAACCCTTCGATCAAGCTCAAACTCAAAGCACTTATTGAACACATATAAACCTAAAAACCTTCAAAATTTCACCTATATATCTACTGCAAAACTTATAAAATTCTCCAAAAAATATCTCCCATTTTATTTCATAAATCCAGAGTCACTTAAAACAAACCCCAATTATGAAAAGCTCATACAAAGTCAATATGAATTCAAATCACCTCAAAATAATTTTCATTGAAACTTTATCAAGTCTCCTATGTGATCTTACTCTCTAATTTACCAAAGAACCCTAGAATCACCATCGAGGCTTGGTTTTGTGCCTTAGAGTGTGATTTCAACCCTGGTTCATAACCGGCCCTCTCACAGTATCAATATCTAGTTTTTCTATGTAATTTTTGCTAGAATTCACTCTTAACTTCTTCCTAAAGATGCCTATATCATTTAATTTTCTAATCTACTTTGTTTTACCTTATTTATGGCTCTACAAGATAAGTAGAAGTTACTTTTTAAAAAAGGCAGCTTTACTACTAAAAGTTTTATTACCTTCCTATCTTTTATTCATATTTTTCTACTTTATTTTTTAACTTGGCTCTTTTATAATAAGATCCATATTATCATCTTTCACCATATAGTCATGTTATAACATAACAACGTGTCTTGCAAAGTAAACACATTTTGGAGGTCTTATAGGATATTATCATGTAGCTCCTAGTTAAGAGTATATATGGAGGCAAGAATGAAGCTTTTTTTACTCTTGTCAATGCCTTTCTAGTCTTTAGTCTTATTTTTTAACTTTCTAGTCTTTTATTTTTAGCCATAGCCATTCTAATTGAATAATATATTATCTTTAAGTGACTTTATAGTTATTTTTAGTATTATAAGAATATATTGAGGATTTCTTTCTTTGAGATTCATATCCTTGACATGTAATCTATTTTCTTATAAAAAAAATCAATGTTAAAAAAAAATATTTGTTTAAAAGTAGGTAGTCTACAATCTTCAAAATACAACAAAAGAAGAGAAATAATCTATTCATTTTTAAATAAAATAAGAACAATAAATTAATTCTCTTATCAAACTATAAAGAATTTAAATCACAAAAAATCAATGACTCAATCTACTCTTTTGTCACTTAAAAAGAATATTTAATCACTCAAAGATGGTATAATATTAAACCAAAATGGCTATTACTTAGGACAATAAACTTAAAGGTTTTTAAAACAAAATTAAGAATAAGAAAGACATTGATAAGAATTAAAAAATAAAAATAAAAATAAAAATAAAATCACTCTTATTTCTATATATATTATTTAACTAGAAGCTATGTAGTGACATTCTATAGGACCTCCAACACATATTCAACTTGTGAGATATATGTCTAATTTTTAACATAAGGTATTAATATGTATAATACATGGACAATTTTTTGGCCAAGTTTCTAACTTATTAATCACCTATAAACACATATAAAATCAAATCCGCATCTATTAAGCTTTTAAATAGCTTTTTCACAAGATATTAGCAAATTCACTTACTTCTATTTATTTCTATCTATTCTCTTAATCTAGATAAATGTATATATCTATGACATTTAGATATAAGAATTTAAGGCATTCTTGGAAGATAAATTTTATAATCAATTAAAATAAAAAACATATATTTTTATTTTTATGCATTACAATAATAATTAATATTTTTCAATGATCTATACACTTTGGTTCCTATATATTATTAATGTGATTTTTTGCATTCTAGTATAAGCAAATATAATAATAATAATAATTATTATATATTAAATTATTATATTAATTCTATTATATTTTATATTAATTTTATATTTAAAAAAATCTATAAATTTTATTTTAAAAATATATATATATATTATTTATAAATAAATATATAGGTATATTATGAAAATACAAATTTTTGTCTTTGTTTGGTGGATGTTGTAATTCATTAACTCTTTTATCATTATAATAGTTTTGTAATGTAATACATATAATATGATCTATTACTACCAAGATTGATTAATAAGTTCATACTTATTGACTTTGTTGTCCATTTAAACATATATTTTGTGTTTATTTTTAAGCATGTGTTCCCAGAAGTAATATGTGCTTCAAGATAAATGCTTTATATGCACATATGTTATAAATGCACATATATGCACATGTTATAAATGCAAAACAATGCTTCACAATAAATCATTCTCTGCTTTTTACCAGTTAAAGTTACAAAATGAAGCACAGCTTGAAAGAAATTCAAGTTATTTATTATTCAAAAAGGAATATGGCAGAAAAGCAGATAGGAAAGTTATAGCTAATATTCTTTACATGAATATGGATGTTCTTGCATCAGCACCATTTGCATGGCACAAATATATTCTTCACATTAGCTCCTTCATTTATGCAAGAAGGCAGACCAGAACATGAGATTACTAAAACTGATGAGCCACTAAAACTAAGCCAAGACATTGTTTTGCAAAACTAATGAGCAAGATGTCTTGGCTTAGTTTTGCAAGACTGGATGGGACACATGTTTGCAACCTGGTGGGTTTGTGAGATTCATGGTGGTGTAAGGAGAAAATATGTTGTGGATCACCCATGAGAAAAAGAAATTTGTGGCAAGGCTAGTGGCAAGCAGTAGGGATTGGTTGATGCTAATTGGGGTTGCAAATGAAGGGTGGAAAAATCGATGACCTTGGTGGAGTGGACAGAAGGGGAAAGATGAAGAGCATAGATGGATGAATGAGTGCCACCTCGGGCGAGTTGCGAATTGTGGAGAAGGGAATAGCTGCCCATTATCTGAGCAAGCAGGGGCAGCAAGAGAAGGGCCGACTGACTGGGTGGGAATGAAACGGGGGGGGGGGGGGATGCACGCCCCGTCTTCGTTCTCAAAGCACGCAACCCACTCCAGATCCTTACTTTTGTTGTCGGCAGCCAGGAAGGCTCAGAGTGGAAAGGACGGAATCTGCAGTGCTGCGAATGAGACTGCGTTATTTTTTCTTTTCTTTTTTCTATTTTGTTCTGTATTTGTTGTTTAGATTTCTCCTTTTCTTCTTTCAGCCTTTTGTCGTGCACCTACGCAGTTTCCGTGCGCAACCACCTCACCTTCCAATGCCCTTGCATCTTCATCACTGCCACCGCTTCTCATTTAGCTTGCTAACGAATTCTTAGGTTTTCCTTGCCTTGCCTCTCTCACTTTTAACATGGCCCTGCCTCACCCCGACCTCCATCACGACGACTGGGGCGTGCTGCTCTACTATAAGTTCGTGGTCATCGCAGAGCCTGCGCGTGTGGTTGATTACCTCAACCGGCTTTGCACCTCTCTCTCCCTTCGCGGTCGCGTCCGCATCGCCCCTGATGGCGTCAATATCACTGTCACAGGGACCCTGCCTGCCCTCTACTCTCACGTCTCCGCCATCCGAGCCCACCCCCTCTTCGCCTTCCCCTCCGTTGATTTCAAGCTCTCCCCTGCTCCCCCTTTCGATGCCGTCCCCCCGCACCTCGCTCTTGACTGTGGATTTGCCTCACTCTCAGTTCGCCTCGTCCCCCACCTCATCACTATTGCGCCCAATCCCCCTCCTATCACCAATGCCGGTCCCCATGTTTCACCCCACCAATTCCACTCCCTCCTTGAACACACCGAGTTGAAATCGACTGTTCTCATTGATGCTCGGAACATTTATGAAACTCGTATCGGCAAGTTCTGTCCTCCCTCGGAGGTCCAGTTCTTTGATCCCTTGCTGCGACAATATAGCGACTTGCCAGGTCAGGTTTCTATGTCATAGCTCGCTTTGTTAACTTCTTCAATAAGAGTTTGCATTTTTAAACTAGTGGCGATTTTTTAATCAGGTACACATTTACACTCTTCAATCAGGAATACTTACACTGCTGGAGTACATCACCAATCTGAGACCGTCATAATGATGCCCCCATTGATCAAGTGTTGTCAAGGGTTTTAAAGTTCTGATCTGCATCATCTCGATTAGAAAACTGTTAGTCTCGAACAACGTGACGAATTTGATGTGGTTCAGGTTGGCTCGATGCTCACCAGGAGCAACTGCGCAACAAACGCGTTCTCATGTGAGTCAATGATTTCAATGTGTTACTATGGATGGCGCAAATTTGAATATTTTTTTTAATCCAAAGCTACGTATATTGTTGCGTATGCAACGGCAGATCAATTACTGCGCATCCCTGGACTTGGTTGAGACTTTTATCGGGAAGTGGATCCTGACTTGTTTAGTTTTATATTTTTCACGACAGCACAAGGCAAATAGGAATTTTTTTTGATAACGAGAGTTTGGAATATATAGTCTTGATTGTGATCACATTTTGCGCAGGTACTGCACAGGCGGTGTACGGTGCGAACTTGCGTCATCCTATTTGCGGAGCAAAGGGAAAGACTTCGAAGATGTCATGCAGGTATCGCTGGAAAGTTGGCGTTTCTTGTAGAAATTTTTGGTACAGGTTTCCCGACCTTAATTATGATACTTTCTGTCTTCTTTACGTTCTAAAATTTTCAACATGGCCTCGTCTTCTGATATCTACCATTCAATTCTTCCTGGCAGCTTTCAGGAGGCATTCATCGGTACTTGGAGGATTTTACCGATGGAGGTTACTTTAAGGGCAAGAATTTTGTATTTGATCATAGGTACAACTTAACATTATGTAACCAGTAACTACGCACGTTACAATCCTTTCTCGCTACAATCTGCACGATTGCCTTCCTGGTTCGGGATCCTTAGCAGTCATAAGTTTCCTGCCATCCAAAGCATTAAACTGCGACTTCAGTTATCCATAGACATGATGCTTGTCTAAAATCGTGTTCTAGTTTTGAGTGTTTCTATACATTGCATCATCAAAATCAAGGAAAGCAATATAGCTATGTTCTTTTGACCGTACCGTTGTTGTTCTGCGGATTACTGCTTAGCGTGGAGTAGTGGTGCAGACTGGATTCATTGGGTATTTGTGGACAGAATGGCTGTCGCAAGCAGTAGTGAGGAGATTGTGGGCCGTTGCCTTCTCTGCAAAGCTCCCTTCGACGACTACTTTGCTCGAAATCGGTGCTCTTTGTGCAGACTTCTTGTCCTCATCTGCCCAACTTGTCAGGTTTGGCGAATAATGTTCTTTTTGCTCTTGTTTTGTTGTGGTCATTGTAGTATGATTTTCAGTTCCCGACAAGAAGTTATTTTTCCCTACGTGGTGCTTATGACAGTGAGAATGCTTGATACCATGGACAGTTTGAAGATATTCGGGTTCAGTGAATGCAGAACTTTTAATGCTTTAACGAGATTTAGTCATTCTGAAAACGTATTCATATAGAACAAAATCGTATGTAGATATAGCTTATGTTTCGAGCATGCGTGATAAATAGGATAGTTTTAACAGTTGTTTGCCGAGTGGTGTAGGGTGCTGGAAACTCACCTGCATCGTCTGCGAAGTATGTTTGTGAACTCTGTGAAGTGAACCAAAAGGCTTTTGGGGGATCAGAGACAGGAGAGGTGTATAGTATTAAGAGTGGTGCACCGATAACAAAAGCTATGACATCACCAACGGATTTGAAAACGTCTTTATTACACGGTCAGTTCCTGCTTCATTTTAAATATCATCTTGTTGTTTTTCCTAAATGAATAACACTGTTTTGTGAAATGATTCTGATGTATGAAATGCTTATTCCAGGATTGGCAACGAAGCGGAAATTAAGACTTCTTTGCTTGCATGGCTTCCGTCAAAATGCAAGTTGCTTCCAAGGTCGATTGGGGTCTCTAAAGAAGAAGTTAAAACACATTGCAGATTTTGTGTTTGTTGATGCACCTCACTCTCTCCCTTTTATCCAACAAGAACGAACCGAAGATTGGAGTGATGTGGGGCCAAAAAGAGATTTGAAAAGGGCATTTTGTCAGAAACCGACTAGAAAGAATGCGTGGCTAATAAGTCCTGGCGATGCACGGGCTATGAAAGAGGAGGAATCAGGAGTGGAAGGGGAGAGAAGGAACACACGATTTGAGCCTTGGCAGTATGAAACACAGACAGAAGGGTGGGAGAAGTCATGGGAGTGTTTGCAAAGAGTTTTCCAAGATCTGGGTCCCTTTGATGGAGTGTTGGGGTTTTCGCAAGGTGCAGCTGTAGTTGCTGCTCTCTGCTCGCTTCGCCACACTCGACCCCTCAACAACGATGTTATCGATGCTGCTGTGCATTTTAGATTTGCAGTTCTGTGCTCCGGATATTCATCGCCTGTTCCCTTGCATGCGAAGATCACGTCCAGTGAAGCAGGAATCCGTTGTCCATCTCTGCATATATATGGTGGACAAGATCGTCAAATAGGTTCCGAAATGTCAGAGCAATTAGCTAGCTTGTTCCACAGAGACGATCGTGTAATCATTAAGCATGATTACGGACATATCATTCCCACAAAACCGGAGTACATAGAACAATATGTGCATTTCCTTCGCGGATTTCTTGAATAGCCTGGAAATACATACTGTATCCAGCACTGAAAGAATGCTAAGTCAGCACTTACACTGCCGGATGGACAGTAAAGGTCATTAAGTTCCCTGAGGACAACTTTAAATCAAAAGTTATGAAATTGGCGTGTGAGATTTGTTCCAGATGATGGTATTTTATTTTAAAGTTGGGCTGGGCCATTCAGTGCAGAATTTTCTTCCATAATTGAATGCTGGGTGTGCCAATCAGGGATGGAGTGAATTTTTCTGGAGCAAGGAAGGAAAATCATACGCCACATGGCACTATGCACCGTGTCCAGAGAACACGTGGGACAATGGAAGAGCCTTAAGCCTCACAGCGACACGTGTAAGGAATCAAATCGCCACGTAGGCAGTGACAGGGCAGAGGAGTGAGAGTAACATATTGCAGACCTAACCAGATGTTGACATATCTTCTTCCTTTTCTGCCCTGCCCTGCTCTGCCCTTGCTGCTGCATAGTTATCTCAAACACTCTACTTTCGCTATCTCCATGTAATCCTACAATCCCCTCTCCTACGATTTTTTGTGCATGCTGTTGAACTTATAGTTATTAGTTTGTGTTTTTTAGGCGTGCCATTCAAACTTATTCTCGTCGTGGTTTTGTAGCCATGGCGATGATTAGTGTGCGCAGTTCATCCTTGGGAGCAATTGTGCTGCTGGTGCTCCTGGTGTCTCTTCTTGTCGTTCATTCTTCTGTAGACTCCACTGCTGATCACGCCAAACAAAGCACAGCTGATGCTGCCTCCGCTGCTCAAGACTCCACCAATTCCTGGATGGATATGGCTAAGGACAAGCTCAACCTCTTCTCCAAGTAGGACCCTCTCTTTCTGTTGCATCATTTGTCAACTGCTGCACCATCACTGCTGCATTAGAAGTTTGTAATGCTGATGTTCTTCATTATGTTAGCGGCGTTCGTCTTTGAAATTGATATCATTTGCACTACAATTTGAGTGTCCTAATATCGTGACATCAAATCTTGAAAGCGTTGGTGCTTATTATAATTTCGGGCATTTGCGGTGATGCACACTCCAGGGGCCACACTGAGGCAACGAAAAGTGCAGAGGAGACTGCCACTGATGCTGCCAACGTAGCAGGAAGCAAGGCCCAGGAAAGCAAGGATGCTGCAGCAGACACCACATCAGGTTAGAGTAATATTGTGGAACACTTTTCTCGCTGTGTTTGCAAGTGTCTATGTCAGTATTACTTATTTATACCCAGCTCAATGCTTCCCCTATATTTGGTCACAACTCTTGTTATGATGGATACTGCTACCTTCTGAGTAAAAGTTTTTCATGAAGTGAGTGGCGGTGACTTGGCTTCGCTAGTGCGGACTGTTCTTGTTGCAGGATACTGGAAGACTTTGAGCAACCGCATCAAAATTATTTCAGATAGCATCAGCAGATTTGGAAAAGGTAGGTAGATAGCTCTAACAATCATGCAAGGATACCCTCACTCGCTAATGAATCTGATTCCTTTGTGTGTCTCAGACATGAAAGTGGCAAATTTTGATGATCGAGATCAATTGAAAGATATGCCGTGAAGATGAGAGAGCAAGAAAGTTGTTATTAACTTGGGTGGTATGAGTGTCAGGCATGGCAGAGTCGGGAAAGGTAGCTTCAGAAGGGATAGTAGGCAAAGCAACCGAGGGCGCAGATTATTTGAAGAGCACAAGCAGCGATACAGCGTCCAAGGTCTACGAGGGTGCGCAATCTGTTAAGGACAAGGCTTACAGAGGGGCGGAAAGTGCTACGGGAAAGACGCAGGAGACAGCCACCGAGGTAAAGGGAAAATCGCAAACTACGTATGAGGCAACAAAGGAGAAACTGAATGAGCAATACAAGGCAGCGTCTGCTGCTATCAATGATCAGATCAAAGCGGCCTCAAAATTGGCCAGTGATGTGGGCGAGAAGGTGAAGAGTGTTACTGGTGCTAAGCATGAGGAGTTGTGAACAAAGCACCACTATCACTCACCGTCACCACAATCTTGACTAGAATGATACTTGTATATGAACGTGTTCGACTCCTTCACAGTACAGCACAGCGAAGGAGTATTAAGAGCATGAGCTGTAAGAGTGTATAGAGTAAAATGAGGTTCATGAGAAGTTGAATCGGCCTAGATGGTAATTCTGTATTTCCCGACAGAATTTTGCTTGTAAAATTAGCAACAAGGGAATGCATGACACATCTTTCTTGTGAAACTGGCCGCAAGTCACTTGTCGCTTCTTTCCAGCACACCTCTCCAACATTTCTACTTTTGGTGACTGAACTCGTTGCGCACGGGCGGTGCAATAAGGAGTTATCTGTCACTTGAAGTTCACCTGCACACTACGGCATACTCTCTGTAAACTTTTAATCCTTTGCTTAAGCAACCGATTTTGAACATTCAAATCATACAAAAAAACTAATATTAAAAAATTAACAGATATACCATTATTCTCATTTCATTCAATATTCAAAATGCTTACATGTAACAATGTAAACTTAAGTTTTTATATATATTCATACAAAATCAATATGGCAAATTTTATTCTTTATGACACAATGAAAAAACTTGATTATTTTTAATAAGTTATATCTATGCATAAAATTTGATTTATTATAAAACAAATGTTGATTTTTACAACAATTATTCAGAATATCGTTTTATTTTATTTTATGTTTAAATCAGTTGTGCAAATTTTTCTAAATTTTCCTTTTCAACTCCATGGATGATGTTTTATTACAATTTTTTTTAAATACCATTCGAAGATTTAAATCTTGTTTCAATCTTTGTAAGAAAACAGTTAAAATTTAAATTGCATTGTACCCCGATTTTTAACATTAGCAGACATTAGCTTCAATTGTGTTTATGTTAAAAAAAATTAGAATATCATTGATAAAATATATGAATATATATATATATATATATATATCTTTTGAAAAATATGCATTTTCTTTATGATTCACAATCTTATAAATTATAAAATTCAAAATATAAAACTACATTCAATTTCTTTAAAAAAAATTATCTTTTTTAAAGAAAAATCTTGAAAATAGTAATATTATAATAAATTAATATACCCATAAACCATTACTGAAATATAAGATAGATTAATTTGGTTATTTTTGTATAATGCTTACATCTTTAATGCTTATATTTTTAAAAATGCTTGTATATATATATATATACATATATATCTCTTAAATAGCCCTTTGAAGGTTGAATACATATGTGAGGTTGTTTTGTAAAATGTGGTCTTTCAATCACCTTCAAGGAAGTTTTTGTCGATTTTGTGAGTTTTGACTTGAAATGTTTTGAGTATCCTAGTGGCATTATACTATCCACATCCAAACTAGTTTTTTGTTTGTTTGTTTGTTTGTTTTTGTTTTTGTTTGTTTGTTTGTTTTTTTTTTTTTTTCCTCAAGAAAATTTAGAATTTTTATAAATATTCAAGTAAGCTGTATGAGGATATTAAACCTCACCTAGACACCAATTCTATTCACCTTCTATATCTTCCTCAATTCTTCCACCTTTTTCTATTTGGATTGTTTCTTGCAAGATGGAAATAGAATACCATATTATAGAAAAATTTAATAGAGACAATTAGCACTTTTAGAAATAAAAAAAAATTGGTTTGTTTTTATTGAAAAAGGATAATAGAAGGTTGTATGTGGAAAGTATAAGAAACCTACTTGGTTATCTATAGATCTAGTAGAGTTTGAAAAATGAGAAGATACATACCAAAGGCCATTATTTTTAATTTTCTTACATCTTATATGCACAAAATTTCTCACTACAAATAGGGCAAAAAGTACATAGACAACATGGCACTTGAAGCAACATACAAGGTGAAAAATACATCAATCTTATTAAACCTAATTTTCAGGTATTATACCATACAAATGAGTAAAGATGACAACATTGTTATGTATATAGGTAAGCTATGAGAGATAGCTGAGCAACTTTCTTCTATAAGCAAGAAAGTTTTTGATTTATACTTTGTAATGGTGTTTTCAAGGAGTCTCCCAAAATTATATTAGACATTAGTGGTGACATTAGGAACAAGACTTCCAACAAAATTGACATTGCAAATGGTCACATCTCAACTATTATAATACAAGTCTCACAATAAGAATGTGCACTCAACCTTGGAGGCAGCATTGATGGAAAATAATAAGACCAAATCATATTTTCATACTCACAATCATACAAGGTCTTCACATGATTACAAGAAGGATGTCAAATGTTGATATTGTGGAAAGAGAGGTTACTACAAAAGAGAGTGTTAAATTAAAGAGGACATGAAATTAAAGAAGTTAAGAAAGACTTTTTAAAAACATTAAGCTAATACAATAAAAAAAATATCAAAAGAAAGAAGATGAGTCTATCTTTATAGTTGTGTTGTCTATTACTATAAGTGATAAGGAGTGGTACATTAATTTTTGTGCTTGTCAATGCATGATAAGAAAGTGAAGTTGGTTTTCAATATAGAAATCTACCATTGGATTTTAAGATTTATTTTGAAGTTGATACTAGACTTGTTGATAAAGAAAAGGATATAGATATCTTTTTAACTTTTGAGAAATATTAAAGGAATATATATGATATTTTACATATTGAAGGATTGGCTAAGAATATTTTTTTTCTCAACAAAATAATAGATCAGGGTTATGAAGTCAATTTTAAAGCTAATACATGTCTCATAAAACAAGACAATATTACAATCAAGGATAGACATGGAAGCTTGAATAAGCTATTAGGATTTTAAAATGAAGATAAGACTTTTCTTGTTATAAAAATGAAACAAAATTTGAATAAGACAAATCCTTGGTGTCAATAATGTTGTCATCTTGGCATTTTAGGCTTGAAGAAACTACAAGCAAGTAATATAGTTACTCATCTAGATTTGAGCAAAAATACTAAGTTAGAATTTTGTGAAAGATGTGTTTATAGAAAACAAAATTATGATGCCCTTTTAACAAAAGGTAGTACTTGTGCAATCAAACTCTTGGAATAATATATTTTTATGTTAATGGTTGTATGAAGATTACATCTTATAGAAGAACAAAGTATTTTATCACTTTTATTAATGATTTTTTTGAAAAAGACTTTTATCTTTTTTATGAATCAAAAGTTGGAAGTCATGCATAAATTTTGACTTTTAGGACTCTTATTAAAAAAACAAATGAATTTAGAGATTAAGAAATTGCATAGTGACAATAGTAGTAAATATACATCTAAGGTCTTCAAGCAATTTTGTGAGCAATATGGTATTGAAAGACAAATTTTGATGTCTTATTCATCTCAACAAAATAGAGTTGCAAAATCCAAGAATCAAACATTATTTAAGAGAATAAGATGCATGTTACTTCATAAGCAACTTTTAAATGAGTGGTAAGCAAAAGCCATTTACACAACAATATATGTCCTCAATTAAGCTTGAACTACAACTATGGAAAAAAAAACACCTGAAGAAATTTGATCAGGTATGAAATTCAATCCTCTTGCAATCCGACGATGGCAGCAAAGGAGGATAAGAAGGCATGTACATCAAAGCTTCTGAAATAGGACACTGAGGGTGCCGATTGAATGCAATGATGTTGATTAGAACTCAGTGATAGTCGAAGAAGAACGGAGCCCAATCAACAATCGGAGAGAAATGAGCACAATAACAAGGAAGAAAATTTAGAAAAGAGCCAATTTAAGTCGATCACCAGCCCAGTTGATAGCACTGCAACACAAACTTAGTCCTTTCGCATCCGAACCGACAAAACCGCGGATCAAAAGATAGCAATGATCTCAATATTCTCGATGGCTACCAACCATGACCAAACCTCCACTACTCTCTTCAAGAACTTGCAACAGCAGCCATGACTTCACGGAATGTGGTTGGTGACGCAATCTAAGTTGCAGTTACAACCGCAATCAATTATTGTTAAAAAATCAAGATGGTGCCACTATATGACAATAGAATATCAAAATCGGCAATGCCTTCCATCGCAACGTCACTATATCTTCAACACTGCATAGCCGCCACTCAATGCCGCAATGCTAGACCCAACACCAGCTCGGGGAAAAGAACAACAACCCAACTTAGTCGTAAATGCACTACCTAGTAGTAACTGTCGTCCAAGCACCATGACCACGTACTACACAGCTGTAGCCCGACCTTCTTCACAACCACGTCAAGACAAGAACAATAACAAAACCACCCAGCGTGCATGTTCCCGGTTCTTAGGATCTCTACGTCGCACACAAGAAGGAAAACAATCAAAAGAGCTTGTAATAGGTGGAGCTCAAAATTCAACACTTTTGCTCCTACTTGCCGAGTGCTGCTCTGCTCAACAAGGCACAGTCCGTTGCCGCACAACCCTTGACGCTGCAACAAAAAACTCAGCCTATCGAGCCGCTCATACTAAATAGTAGATGGGGATTCCCAGCCGCAACCCTGATTGATACGGAGCTTTTCCTTGCACAAAGAAAAAAAATCAGTAAATAAAATAAATAAATGAGAGATCAAGAAGTGCTTCACCGCAGCACTCCTCCAACACAAAGGAGATAGGAAAAAAAGCCAGTCCGTAGGGCTCGGAGCTTAGAAAAAACGACACAAAAATCAAAACAAGAGGATATAAAAGCAAGTGGATCCCGGGCGGCCTGAACCCCTACCGGCAGAGAGCTGGGGGAATTTGGGGCAGCCTCATGCCCCCCAATCCCATCTTTTCTTTATTTTATTTTTTTTCCTTTCCTTTTTGCTCCTCTCTTTCTCTGCTTACCTATTCTTCTTTATGGTTTTGTTTCTTTCTTTTCTTCTTATTGGATGCTTTGAATCAAGGATTCCACCTCCTATTTAACCTACATAAAATATTTTAATGCCCATAAAAACCACAACTATTACATCAAGACTTATATTAGCTAAATTGAGAAAAGAATATCTATTTTGGAATTCTCTCTTAAGGAAACTTTTTCATT